ACCTTAAAAATCTATAAGAAAAGGTAGTTTTAATGTTGAAAAACCCTTTGATTGATCATCTCGACATCGAGATATATGACCATGAAAATAAAAAAGATTTTAAGTCTCAAAAATAATGTATTGTACAACATACTATCTGCACCGTCCATTTTCAAGATTTTCATATGTTTATATATATATATATTTGATTTTAACCATTTTTTAAATTTAAATATTTATAATTAGATATAAAAATAGATTTTGAGATAAGAGAAATAATCCTATGGAACCCTCCCCATACATGTATATAGGACCCCAAAGGATCACCATTAAATTTGGCACGGATCTATAAAAAAGTCAAGTCTCACACCTATGTGATAACTTTTTTAGAGATCTGTACCAACTTTAATGGTGATCCTTTAAGGTTCTACACACATGGGTGAGGGAGGGTCTTATAGGATTATTACTCTTGAGATAATCCTAAAAATATTTTACATCAAAATTGTATACCATGATAAAATTTGAAGGTGCACCCTACCTCTACAGCTATGAATACATCCGTATACTAACTGCACCCATTCTATAAAGATTGTAGGATACTTCCATCTTTAAGAGAAGATAGAGAAGGAGAGAGTACGGACTTTTATATCCTAATTAGAGAGAGAAAGAGAGAATCAATAATCATCTTTTTAGAAAGTAGCTAAGGAGATGAGATAGATGGAAAGAGATTTAAGGAGAGATGGTATGGTAGTTTTTTTGTAGAGAGAAGAGGGTAGAAACCAAAGCGAGTGCGTGGATAGGGAAAGACCAAAAGAGGAGGTATGAAGAGAGAGAGATGGGGCATGTTTTAAAAAGTGACAAGAGTTTGTATTCCTCACTGATCTCCCCAAAAAAAGAGAGAAATATTTTCTATTTCTGTTTTAAACATTATGAAATCTTGAGAAAGTATCTTCTAAAATTGAGAAAGATGATATGGGGATTTCAAAGTTGATAGACATATAAACCCGGTTTCTCTCTCTTATATTTCTCTCTCGCTTTCTCTTCTCCACTACCTCTCTCTCTCTTCCCCTGAAAAATATTTATTTTTTATTTCTCTCCCTTGATAGGCCCTTAATATTTCTTTAAACTACTATATATCTCTATTAATCCTAACCTTAATTCATTATATAGAAGGTTCTACGAAACAAGGAAATGCCATATTCAACCCTCCCTCATCTCTCTTCTCAACTTTCTCCCCAACTACACCCCACTACCTTCTTCAAACCCTTTTATCTCTCATTGCTTTTCTCAGTACCTCCTCTCAATTCCTCAATTCCTTTACCAAACACCATATCACATACGTTGACCATGACCACATACCCATGGATGCACCATAAAAGTAAACTTCTGCTTAGTTAGATCGATCAAGGTATAGTATAGTTTTTTCTTTAGTTTAAAATTTTAACTATATCAACTTCTTTCCGCATGTCTCTCATTCTCCATGTATCGCCCTCAATTGGTGTTCTTTGTTAAAGGTGCTTAAAATATGAGCACCAATCTCCAAGCTTCTATAGTACACTATCGACTTATTTGATTTTTTTGGTATTTATTTTTTTATTTTTGTATTTTCTAGGCTATTTAATACACTAAATTTATTGTAAGTTCTTTGGTGCTAATTGTGTTCTTCATTTTTAGGATTTCTTATGATTTTGTATTGCTTTTTAATGCATGTTTTTATCTTTGCCTTATATATTTGTATATTTTTGGTGTTCTGATCAAATATATGAGTTTTTCTCCATCTTAATTACAATATAGATTACCAGAAAACCGCATGGTCTATATTGTTAATATTATGGTAGTTGGTCTAAGATATATATAATCAAACTCTTGAATATGCCATTGAAGCTCTCACTGATAGAGTTTAAGTAATTATTTATGCAAATATGTGTTGCACATGGATGTACTGTCTATTACATATTAAAGTCTTATTTATAAATCTCTTCTCTCTCCCACACTCATTCTTTATCTCACGATTTCACGATGCTCAAAATAAAACTTTTTTATATTGAAACTTATCCTTGAAACACTAGGGGTGCATTTAGTAATATTGACCAATATTTACATAGAAAAATTTTATATAAGGTTGCAACCTTAAAATGTAGAATTAAAAAGCACCTCAAAAATCCATCGTTAATGTTTGTTTTAATGTTGAAAAACCCTCTAATTGATCATCTTGACATTGAGATGTATGAATATGAAAAAAAGATTTCAATTTTCAATATTTTTATATGTTTATAAATCTACTTGATTTTAATTTTGGAGTTTAAAATTTTATAATTAAATATCAAAATAGATTTTCAAATATTCCTAATAATGTTTTACATCAAAATTACATGTTATAATAAAATTTGGAGGTGCACTTTGATTGGATTATTTAAGGTTGCAACCTTACAAAAATTGGATCCTATTTATAGGGAAAATTGTTTTAAAGCATCCATTTTAAAGATGGCTACAAGTAGGTGTTCCATCTAAAAACTTTGAAAACTAACGGTTCAAAATGATTTTTTATTAGAATTATTAATTTTAATTTTTAAAATTTATTTATTTATTATTAAAAAGCCCGCATTTCTACATATGCGGGTTTGGCCGTATAGAAACCGGGTCCTATTCATATTGATGGATCGATGGGAATGTAATTGCACATATTGATATTGTGCGACGGCTTCACGTGAAACACTGTCCGAAACAAAGGGATAGGATTTCGGTGGGTCAAGTGCGCACACCCTATTTTTGTGGGTCCGCCTTCCAAGATCCCTCTTAGAAAATGGACCCAAACGTTAGCATGTCAATAATGCTGACCACTCCAATCATTAATTTGGTTAAAAAAAAAGGAATTTTAAGGCTCAAAAGTGGTGCAATTGGAATTCTGTGTTTCCATCATTATTTTTTTCTTTCACAATATACATGTTCTTTTGAGAAACAAATTTATGAATATAATTTAAAAATATATAACTGCAATGATTTAAAATAGGTTTAGATCCTAAGATACAAAATCACTAATCCAAATCAGGAATGGGTGAATTCCCTACACCCAAATTACCTAACTCCTCACCTATTTTATTTATTATTATTATTATTATTATTATTATTTGATATTTTATTTTTAAAATTAAAATTCTTATTGAATTTTAATGTGCTCAAGAAACAATATTTCAATAAGATGAGTATAGTTGATATGAAGACGTTGAGATGGAGGAGTGACAAGATAAGAAATGATAGAATTTAGAATGAATATATGAAGGAACTTAAGTATAACTTCTCTGTATTAAGTAATAAGATGAGGGAAAGTAGACTTAGCTGAGTTGGCTATGTGCACTGTTAACTTAATATATAGGTGAAAGAACTTAAGTGCATCTTAATATAGGTCAAGAAACTTAAGTGCATCTTCAATAGTGATGCAGATGAAGATAGAGTTGCTACAAGATTTTAATTTTTATTTTATATTTATTTTTGAAGGGTAAGTCCATAGTTTTTTTTAAAGGTCCGTCTTATTCTTTGCAAGAGTTGGTTTTCTGTTTAGGACGTTAATTTCCTATGGATAGTTACTATCTTACTTGATCTTTGTTTTAGAAACAGTTAGGAGATCTGGCCGAACCTGGGTCGTATCAGGGACCCCACCCGACTCGTTTAGACCTCACAATAGAATCATGTGGGTTTATGAGTGTTTGACACAAGTGGATAATTAATAACGTCATTTGATGGATATCTAATAGAAAAAGTGCATATAGGGTAGCAACTTTAAAATGCAAGAATTAACCTAAAAAATCCATCAAAAAATGTTGTTTTAATGTTGAAAAACCTTTTAATTAATCATCACAACATCGAGATATATGAATGTGAAAAAAAAAAAGATTTTGAACTCTAAAAAAACATGCATCCTGCAACACATTATCTAAACCGTCCATTTTCAAGATTTTCATATGCTTATAGATCTATTTAATTTTAATCATTTTAAAATTTAAAATTTTATAATTAGATATAAAAATATATTTCTAGATACTCTTAAGAATATTTTATGTAAAAAATATGGTAAAATTTGAAAGTGGGCCTTAATAGGTTTATTTAAGGTTGCAACTTTATAGAAACCACACCCATATCTAATAAAGTAAAGGAATGTGCATCCCCATGTTTATTTAAGCGCTACATCATGTACATCTTACCATCCATCGACCATCATCGACGGGTTGACTGACGGTCTACTTTACCTAAACCATAATAGAATGTTCAAAATGCATGGACTTGTATGTCTTTAATTAGGGTTTTGGAGATAATTAGGCTATAAATTATTTCTGGCTAATCGAGAAACAAAGGTAATCAACACCGAAACTTCGACGAGGTTCTTCAGTTGCCCATGACCGTTAAACGTTTGAGAGAGAGAGGAGAGAGAAAGTAGGGACTTATAGAACTTTAATTTTTTGTATTATTTTATGGTAGGTACTCTGTTTGTTTTTTTTTTTTCAAGCCGTATAAATTTTTTTTAAGATCTTACCATATCTCTTATCTTTTATTTTTATTTTTTTATTTTTTATAATAAAAATTAGTTTCAACAAATTTTTTATGAAAAAAATTTAAAATGATATAATAAAATTTAGTAGTAAATTAATTTTATGATAGAACCCATAAAAAATAAAAATAAAGAGGTACGATAAAATCTATAAAAGTGTTTTTAGAAAATAACTGAAAAGAGTATATACGATGACGAAATAATTAGAATTAGGGTTGTATACGAAATTTTCCCGGTAAAAATAAAAGAAAGCAGTGTGAGAGGAGAGAGAAAGTAGAGAGAGGAGGTTTAACGCGTATTTGTCCGCCATTAATGGCAGCCATTCCACGCAGTTTCCCATCCCTTTCCTGCAACTTTCTCTCTTATCCGTCTCTTCTTTTCACTAGATTCAGTGAAGCATGATGTGAAAGACGACTCATCGCCGTAAAAACGTGGGGTTCCTTCTCTTCTCTCTCATCATCGAAAGGTAAGCGCAGGAAGAAGACTCACGCCACCTATCCATGCCTCCCCCTCTCTATCTACACAGCTTCCATGTGCTACCAGTCAATAAATACATAGATTCCAAGATTTAGACACAAATACCCTTTTTTTAATTAATTTTCTTTACCTCTCTCTTTCTTAATTTTTGTAATGTGGTGTTTTAACTGTAATTCTCTCTCCTTGCCGCCGCTATTCTCTGACTAACAAAAGGTTTTAAACTCGAAGTTGGTATGTTCTCGAGTTCGATTTGCTCGTATTTTGTTAAAAAATATAGACTTCGACGAAGTCTTTTGATGAAAGCTTTGGGGTTTGACCTTTAGGTTAGCCGTTACCTGAAATAACACTTTCTCTCATTTGGGGTTTGGATTTTACTGGTTTGCGTGATAAGGTGGCAACAATTGCGTGTTTTCCCATTTTCATAGCCATCTGGAAACAGTTTTGTTTATGCTTTAAAAAGGGAACAGGCGCCATGGTTTTAGGGTTTGATAAAAAAGTGCTTCTCTTTCTCGTGAAGGAGCAGTGACAGGTCGGTGTTTTAACAACCGCCCTCTGAGTCTGAAACCTCTCAGATCTACTCTAGGTCAGAATGTGAATTTTCTTTGCGCGTTACCTTTGGTTTGTTTATTTTTGAGATGGCAATTGGGTTTTCTTATGTGGTAGGATATTTGCTTAGTCAATTGCATAAACTTCGTTCTTTTTTTTTTTCGGTGTAGTTTCTGCCACATGATTTCTTGTTTCCTAGGTTATGAGCTTAGAAGCCTTTTATAAATTCTGTACCTTGTGTTTCATCCAAAATTTTGAAGTTGATTTTTCTCTAAGCTATTCCCCGGATTTGTTGGGTAAGCCAATTCAATTGGAACTTGAAGATTTGTTCCCCTTTTCTTCAGCTTATTATAACTTCCTGTGCATTCAATTGATTAAGTTCTCTCTCTCGCTGTCTCTCTCTCTTTTCATTATTTGTGATGTTATTGTCATGCATGTTGGAGAAGGTCTGCTTTGATGTCCCTGTCTCTATGATGTGATGTTCTTAGTGCCTTGAGCATCTTGATGTTACCTGCCTTCCTATTTTTTCTATCATAAAAAAAAAAAGAAAGAAAAACTGAAGAAAACATCTGCATCAAATGAATATTCAGCGGCCTTATGGTTTTCCCTTGAAGCTTTCCCTAATCTTTGTGGACTAATCTTTTTATTATTGTCTCCCTTGTTTAATTAGTGACAAAATTTTTGTGTCTATACGACTATGAAAGAAAAGAGGAAACTATGTTTTTCATTATTTTATGGGTTTGGTTTTTGCTCGTTGTTGAAGCCTTTGTTGACAAATATTCTTTGAGATTGATTCCCACATGTATCGAGTTCTAACTTTTCAAAAATTGGTTGGTAAATATGCATAGGGTTTGGATGACTGGAGACTTCATTTCATATAATCAACTTTGATAGAATAGCTTCTCATCATTCTGTATGTTCACCACCTTTATAATTGACCAACTGAGAGTGTTTCGCTTTTGATTTTAGGTTGTTTCTTTAGTTATTAGTTGAAGTTTGCACAAGTCATTTGGTGCTTAGAGTGACTACCAAGCCTACTAAGTATCTAAGTATTTGGATTGAAGTATGGGTGGTAAAAGTTCTAAAGAGACAAGGTGGAAGCAGACCCCATCATATGGTTGTAGTACTTCTTCATTGAACTACCCTGCACCCTCCTACACATCTCAACAAGCACCCCCTTCTGTAAACTACGGCCAGCCAGATCCAAGACGTAAATTGGAAAGGAGGTATTCTCGGATAGCTGACAACTACAGCTCCCTTGAACAAGTAAGATGCATATTTTCTTTTTGGTTTTCAGAGATCTTATTGTCTTTCATATTGCAGCATTTAGGTTGTTAAATATGTCAATCGCTTTTTCTATTATGCATTTTATCATATGCTCCTGGTGTTCTCTTGACGTGCTCAAAGGCCAAAGCATCTAACTTATAAGCATGATGCAATTTCCTGTTTGAATGATATATGATTAATTTATTGTTTAGTTTGAGGATTGAAAATTTAATTTTATGTTCAGAATTGGAGAGAACAGTTTGATCTGAAAATTTCATCATTATAGTGACATAATCATGGCTAAAAGGTTTTCATAGGGTACCATATTTTTTATAAGGTAACTATGAGAGGCAGCTGCATCTTGTCTTGCGGTGTAAAAAGAAAATAAATTTGCCTTACTGATTTAGGATTTCCGTTAGTTGGCTGGCTCATGAAGCTCACATGCATGGATTATTCCAGTTGAATGGATTGATTCGTTGCATCTGAGAAGGAATAAATCTTATCTTAAGGAGTTGACCTTAAATTTTGGAGTACCCCTTCCATACAAAAGTTTAATTTCTGTTTCTTGATATTTTTTTTAAGTGCCTAACATGGTATATTCCATTTGTGTGACATCAGGGTTTTCTTTTTTGGTTGAACTTCTTTTTTTTTCAGCTAGCAGCCCAGCAGGGTTTTTTTTTTTGGTTGGACTTCTAAAAGGCGGATAGCCCAGCACCTAGGCAGTCTAGAGGGCCTGGGCGAGGCGACCTGCCCTTGGGCGGCCGCCTAGGCGCTAGGGAACCCGTCTAAGCATGTGCCCAGCGTCCAGCATTGGGCGGCCGCCCAGGGCCTGTGCCCTTCTCGTTGAGGGCCATTTTTAATAAAAAAAAAGGGATAAGGGTGGGTTTTAGGTTCATTTGGAACCTAAACATCACCTATTTTAGAGAGGAAAACCTCAAAAAACTAGTTTTCGGGCATCCAAAGACTGGGCCTATTTTGCAGGTTCCCCCCAATAGAACCTATTTTAGGCAGTTTAAATTTTCGTTCTACTGGGCCGTGCCTAGACGTTGGGTGGCTTGGCCCTCCCAGCCGCCTAATCGCCGCCCAACACTTTTTGAAACACTGTTGTGGATATGTTATAGTACACTTCCACTTATGCTTTAATGAGTAGCTGACCATGAGAAAAAGAGAACTTCTGGTGACCATGTGGAAACTAGAATGAACTATCTCTCTATGATGATCCTTTGGTGTATAGATTTTCAAGTTAATTTTGTAAGGGAGATAACCCTTGTTATGCTCTATGTGAACACAACAATTTTTTTTTTGAGAATAGAGAGGGACGCAACAATTGATATGCGCTTCTCTTAAAAATCTTGTGAATTCCCATATATGTGTTCTATTTTCTCATGAAACATACGGTTTGAAGCTGTTGGCTTGACACTGGTGTTCCAAGCATACATGGGAGGATCGTGAAACAACATCTTTTTCTTTCACTTGCTGTCTTCCATGACTAAAGAGGCAACAAGCTTTAGGTTTTTTGATATTGCTTTTTTGTTATTCACATGCCCTGCCTATTTTTCATGCTCAAGTTGAGATAATGGTGACATTGGCTACAAAAGTCCTTTAATGGTGATTATCAAATATTTTGAATAAAATTGTCAATGGTGCTTAGATTTGACATGAATTGACCATACTTGGGCAATATCAGGTCTGATAGTAAAATATATGAACTTGGGCAATATCAGGTCTGATAGTAAAATATATGAAACTCCCAACTAGCTTTATGTCGATCAAACAACAACATAATTATCGTTGTATAATGAGTACTTCTCGTTTGTTTGGAGTAGGGTGGTCGGTTTCTCTATCTTGCAATTTCTGAACTGTGCATGCATACCAAGTGACATGTATGCTCTTGTATTGTGATGATAATATCTTCCCTACCAGAACATGCCACCTCCAATATTTTCTCTACAGAACAAGCCACCTCCAAGGTAGGAACTCTTACCTCCTTTTAATTGCAAATGCAACAAGACTTCATTAGAAGTATCATACTGGAGTGATTGACTAGGATGAAAATATGGTCAAAGTACGCAAGAACTATTGTTGTGTTGGTTGATGACATGCACGACCATGAAAATAATTCCAAACTTATTAAACATCCTGAAGCTACTTGTAAAGTTTTGGGGAATAAGTTCTTTTTGAAATCCCTATGGACAAATTCTCAGTGCTTGTTTGAGACTGTGACTCCGCAAAAAATAATTTGGGGCATGGGCATGACAATGTCTTAGAGCTTGTCATACATAGAGCCCCATTTGTAACTCATCATCAAGTGTGCTTTCTCACATTTATTTGTAAAGGAGATCACTTTTAATTTGGTTCAACGATAATAGCTACTTGCACTACAGTAATGTTTGCCCTTGGTGTAACAGTCTTCTTATGATCTCTTGCTCTTTTTCATACTCGTGTCATCATCATCATGGCCTTTTCTCAATTAATGAGGGTCGGCTACACGAATCATGGTCCGCCATTCTACTCTATTAAAGGCCATACCCTCAATGAGGCCATAAGTCCTCATATCGTTTCGGACTACTTCCAACCACGTCCTTTTGGGCCTACTCCTTGTCCTTGTTAGTCCTTCCACTAGAACTAACTCGCACCTTCTAATAGGTGCTATACTTGGTTGGTGCCACACATGGCCAGCCCGCCTAAGTCCACTCTCTCTCATCTTTTCATCTATTGGTGCCACACCTAAATTCTCTCGAATGGATTCATTTGGAATTCTATCCCTTCTTGTCTTGCCACTCATCCATCTCAACATCTTCATCTTCGCTACACTCATTTTATAGGTATATTGTTTTTTGTCCACCCAACATTCAGCCCCATGGAGCAAAGTTGGTCTCACCGTTGTCCTATAGAACTTGCCCTTCAACTTCATTGGTATACGACGATCACATAAAATTCCAGTTGCACATCTCCACTTCATCCACCCAACTCTAATTATGTGTACAACTTCTTCGTCAATCTCTCCATTTTCCTGGATTATCGACACAAGATATTGAAGGTGCAGTCTTTTTTGTACTTCCTGGTTGTCATTCTTAACTACATCCTCGTCTCTACTTCTATTATTACTAAACTTGCATTCCATATACTTTGTCTTCGTTCGGCTAATGTACTACTCTCTCTCATCTTATCATCTATTGGTGCCACACTTAAATTCTCCCGAATGGATTCGTTGCGAATTCCATCCCTCATTGTCTTACCACTCATCCATCTCAACATCCTCATCTCTACTACACTCATGTTATATGTATATTATTTTTTGTCCGCCCAACATTCCGTCCCATAGAGCAAAGCTGGTCTTACCGCTGTCTTATAGAACTTGCCTTTCAGCTTCATTGGTATACGACGATCACATAAATTCCAGCTGCACATCTTCACTTCGTCCACCCAACTCTAATTTTGTATGCAACATCTTCGTCAATCTCTCAATTTCTTGGATTATCGACCCAAGATATCGAAGGTGCGGTCTTTTTTGTACTTCCCCGTCTCCACTTCTATTAGTGCTAAACTTGCATTCCATTTATTCTGTCTTAGTCCGGCTAATTTTAAAACCTTTGGATTCTAGGGCATCCATTTAAAGTTCTAACTTTGTGTTGATGCCGTTTCAGGTCTCATCGATTAAAACTATGTCATCTGCGAATAACATTCACCACGGTACCTCATCCTGTAGGTGCCTAGTTAAGTCGTCCATAGTTAAGACAAAGAGGTACGGGCTCAATGCTGATCCTTGATGTAGATCTATTGTCACTGAAGACTCACTCGTCTCTCCACTAGTTAGTGCTCCATCGTACATATCTCTCCCAAGTTGATGTAGTGTCTGGAGACTCCTTTCTTTTCCAATATCCGCCAAATCAAATCTCGAAGTACTCTATCATAAGCTTTCTCTAGATCAATAAAGGCCAGGTGGAGGTCTTTACTGCTCGCCTTAAACTTCTCAATCAGTTGTCTAAGTTGAAAAATAGCCTTAGTTGTTTACCTTGGCATAAAACCAAATTGGTGTGTATATGGTGCAAAATTTTGGTGTAGATATATAGAGCGCAAAAAATTTTGGTTTGGACCTGCCCACAGTTCCAGATTTATGCTTATCTGAAATTCCATTAGACTTACCACTCTCTTGAAATCATCCCCTTGTTTCTCTACCGAGAGGAAGAGTAACTGAAATACTGAATCCCTATCATGTTTTGTTCTATAGATTGAATTTTCTTTCTTAATTTCTTTTAGAATAGAAAAGTCAGAGGTTCTTTGTTTCCTTGGAGTTTAAAAATATTGAATAAAGAAGCAAGAATTTTGGCTCTATATGTAAGAGAAAATGTCTCATTTGGAGAACAAATCAGAAGGAACACATATACATGATTTACAAATCTGAGGAGTGAGAATTAGTTACCAAGAACAAAAATACTGAGATGTATAAATGAGCAGGGAGAAAGGAGGACACCCAAAAGGGCAGAAAAATTAGTTGATTGCAGATCCTCACTACAAAAGCTTTCTTCTAATAATTTGGCAATGCTGTACTCCTTGTTACTTCTTTTTTGGCCAATAAATCCAGTTTTGTTTCTGGCATCCCTGAGAATATGTAGATAGGGAGATGTTTTGTGTCCTTTGCTGGAAGCAATATCTAATCACAATGCTAACCCTCCATGGGAATCGGTTTCCAACCCTGCCCATCTTTATCACATTTTGGTAATTCTTTTCCCTCTATAAATGGTCTTGAGATTTGAAGGGAGATTGCCTTGAGATCTGTAAGTAGACCCAAGGTTTGTGCCACTGCAGAATCACAAATATCTACTGGTCCAGTGTATGACCTCGATAATATGTTGCATAAAAAGAAAGTGCATGCACATATCAAGTGAAATGTCTGGAAATCACTTGGGGAGCTACCAGGAAACATGGTGACTATGGATGGAGATACAAAAGGAAAAAGACGAGAGGATTTATATGGAAAATGAGCATCCTACCATATCTCTGAAATAGATTTTGAAGGAGGCACGTTTCCCAAATGCAAGTTGCCTGCCAGAATGCTTGCATATTCCCCTCAAAAAAAAAGAAGAGGAAGGAATAAAGAAAGAAAGAGTGGATAAATCATATGAAAGAAAATTTGTTGCGAAGCCATAGCTGATGGTTCTATAACAATGATATCTCTTCCAAAGTGGTGAATAGTAATCAGTATGTGTCCATAATGCTACACTTTTGCATGGATTTTGTCTCAGAGTGAAATCTCCATCTGTTTATGAGATTGGTGACACGTATCATTGTATAAATAGTCGAGGTCTAAGAAATATTGAGAAGGGTAGAAAAGCTTTAAAATACAAATGATACATGTCCATGTGTGGTGGGTGACATGATGCCATTGATAGGCGCATGTGCAGCAAAAGAACAGATAATGCCATGAATTAGAAAGAGATTGAGAAGTATTTTTTTTCTGTACATAAATGTTTGTTAAATTCTGTGCTATACCCAGTACCCACCTAACATATTCGATATTGGGAGAAACTACGATGTTTCTATATAGAAGATTAATATAGAAAGTGTCATTAGTACCTGACTTCAAAACATTTTTGGACTTTCAGTTCAATGAGTACAAAAGTAAGGGAGCTATTATCTACAACCACAAAAGTGGTGAGGTTAGATTATTGCTGCAATCTGATGTTCGTGTCAAAACAATGTTTCAAAAAAAGCTAGGTGGCCCCTAGGCGGCCGGCCTGGTGTCTAGCGCCCAGGTGCTAGGCAGGCACCTAGAACCTCAGGCCCCTTGAGGTGAAAAATGCATAATGTGCTGTTCAAAAGCACATATATGCAAACATTTTTGTTAATTTTGTATTTTGGTTGAAACACGTTCAAAACTTCAAATCTTTGAAAATTTAGTGAAAAAAGTCAAAAAACATAGACAAGTTCATTTTGTATTGACCCCCAACTATTCAATCTAAATTGAGTATGGCATACTCCATACAAACGCATGAACACAATCACAACTAGCCCAAATGTTCTGAAGTCCTTCAAATGCCTTCCTTAGCACCCTTAAAAAAATCCAACAATGAAGGTTAAGATTTTAGATGCTTCCTCAAACCTCAAATTCTTTTTTCGATTCAACAAAATATCAAAATCAATCAATTTCGGGGTTTAGATTCGAGTTTTTCTCACTTGGGGGGTTAGAATACCCCTAATGTTCTTTTATAAAAATTTCATGGGTCAAAAACTACCCAAAATGCCCTTAGGGGCCACTTCATCATCATCATTTTAGCTTTTTCCCATTGGGGTTGGCTGCATGAATCTTGGTTCTCCATTCTGCTCTATTAAAGGCCATAGGGGCTATGCAAATTACAAAAAAAGGGGCCGACCAGAGAGGGCCCCCTAGACTTGGGCATGCGCCTAAAGGCACTTCCGGTGTTGGTTGACCTTTATGCATCGGAATTTAACTTAATGTTTACCGCATGAGCAGTCGATATGCTTGCTTTTGGGCATTCTTGTATTTATAGCTTGTAAGCACTGTTATAGGGATCACAGTCAAGGGCTGATCCCGCTCCAAAATTTCCCTTCTGTGCTCCAAGGAGTGGGGATCTCCTTTTGCAATTTTTAAACTTCGGGGTTTGATCCTTCCACAGAGATTGAGATCCTAAGTTACATGGGATCCATAGGGACCGATCCAGCTCCAGAAGTTCCCTCCTGTGCTCCAGGGAGGGGGGATCTCCTTGTGCAATTTTTAAACTTCAGGATTTGATCCTTCCGCTTAGAGATTGGGATCCTGAGTTACATGGGATCCATATTCCTTAGCATTATATTTGAGGGTTCATAGCGAATTGAATTGAGGTTCCACCAATGTGGGATCAAGACTCCCTTGGTGGCAGACTCCATATACCAAATTTCTCTCTCAATATACCAAATACCAAATTTCTCCATCTATACATCACTGTGGAAACCCTAGCTCGAAATGACATACGCTGCTGTTCTTCTTGGGCCCTCATCTCTCTGCCTTCCCTTCAGCGTGCTACCCAAGTCTCCCACCCATTTCAACACATCTCTCTCTCCCTCTCTCCATGCAATTTGTTAGTAGCTTCTTGGGCTCTTCAATTCCTATCAGCCTGCAACCCAACGCTGCCTGCTCTTATAAACAAATACCCCATCTCCCTTCTATCCCTCTCTCTCTCT